ATTTGAGGACTGGGAGAGAGACGCGAGATTACCGGGAGATCATCACTCGTTTGCGGGCATCCGGAGACTCGCGAAACTTCCCGCCCTACTCATAATTCTCTCTTCATATAGCCGTAAGCCTATTACATATCCATAAAACACTGTGATATAACCGCGCTCGGATCGGATCGCTTTCTCACTGCAATCGAACCGCTCCAGGGTTCGTTTCAATCGAGCCGAGACCACCTCATTCAAGCGATCTCGGAGCGATTACTTTGGCGCGGAACAGAGCGCGATTGCCCTGTTCACATATGCCAATCGAACCGCGCTAACTGGGCAAACGAGATACGTTCCGAAACAAAAGTGTAGGTGTGAAAGCACCCTAAATGCAGACGATCGGATACGAGTCACTTTTAAAAGATGATGTAAGCAGGTCATCAAAAAAAAGTCGGATACAGTCACAAAATCGGAATTGACCATCAAGATCTGCAGTGTAAATGCAGCCTTTGAGAGCCTCCCAGACTGAATGAATAAATAGGCTGTTTTCCATGAAGGCAACCCAGGGTGCTGAAATATAATTGGCTAAAGTGGCAGAGGGCGGATTAAATGACCAAAACAAAGACAACCATTCAGGCACGTAAACACACAATATCAAAGCACAATATCTGACTTCAGCATTGTTTTTCAGATAAACAAGAATGTTCACTTAGCTTGTTTCTATAATGCAAACATACCATGGTATTTTTATGCTTTAAAAAAACTCAAAGTAAGTCAAAAACTTACATACAGCACCTTTAAGGTTATTTAAATTCTATAATTTGATGTTAGGGCGAGGCAGTGGCGGAGTAGGTAGTGCTGTCGCCTCACAGCAAGAAGGTCGCTGGGTCGAACCTCGGCTCAGTTGGCGCTTCTGTGTGGAGTTTGCATGTTCTCCCTGTCTTCGCGTGGGTTTCCTCCGGGTGCTCCGGTTTCCCCCACAGTCCAAAGACATGCGGTACAGGTGAATTGGGTAGGCTAAATTGTCCATAGTGTGTGAATGTGTGTGTGGATGTTTCCCAGAGATGGGTTGCGGCTGGAAGGGCATCCGCTGCGTAAAAACTTGCTGGATAAGTTGGCGGTTCATTCCGCTGTGGCGACCCCGGATTAATAAAGGGACTAAGCCGACAAGAAAATGAATGAATGAATGAATGAATTTGATGTTATCTCCAAATATAGCACAAGTTGTCGATATATTGATTATTGTGAATAATTCACTCACTAATGAACAATGTATTACTGTGGCTTGTAAGCAGTATTAAAAGTATGCAAATGCAATATAGAACCAATTAATTAATTGACATGATTGCGTAAATGTCCTTACTACACATCAAAACTGTGAAAAAATTGATGTTTTGGGTTTTTCGTGATCATGGGTAGCCTCTGAATGAAACACGGCTGCTATATAACGTTTCACAAAAAATGTGTTGTTAATTTTATTAATGATTTTGATCACACAGCATTCAAATTGTTTACATTATATTGTCACTGTAGTATAAAACGAAGCACTTTAAGTTTTACGACTTGTATAAATGTTGTTTATTGTTAAAAATAATGAATCAATAAAGCAATGTACAAAGCAGAAACAATTTAATACTTCACACTAAGTGATTACTGGTGGTTCAAAAAACAAAAAGCAGGATATATTTGCTGATGATATCTATAAATATGGTGTCTGGGTCTCTGACCGTTTCTGAAATTTAGGTCATCTTTGCACCTGTATGAAGCGCCACAAACTCTCTCCGGACGTTAGCCAGGAAGGCAGAGAAGTTGTTGGTTTCCTGCAGTCTGCTCTCTAGCTGTGTCATTTTCTCCAGAGGAGGGTCACAGGAGATAACTGAAGAAAAAAATGATCATGGTTAAAAAATATTGACAGATCATCTTTTTTTTCATGATTATGAGAATTATAAAATGTTATTAAATGAGCAATTCCAGCGTTATGGATGTGACATTTGTAGTAAAATCTTAAAACAGATAGTATGCATATGTTAAAATTATATTGAAACATCAGTTTATATTTTCCGTAACAACTAGCCACAGAGTCATGGGATCAGAAAAACATCAATCTGTAAACATATTTTTTTTTTATTTTAAATGAGGGAAATAAACATGCGTTATGGATGTGAGTGTAAAAAATTTAGCGAGTTCACTGTATTGACCTTATTCTAAAATGCGGAAGTGCGCCTGTTTTCACGATTGTCTTAGAACTTCCGATTCAGTCGCCTATGGGAGAAATGACTAGGAATAATAAACGGCAGAAAATGGCCAAACTACTTGCTCAACAAACAAATGTTTGCATGACTACACAGACCAAGTAGCATAATATAATAAGAAAATATTAAATTGCAACATCAAGCAGCGTAACGAGCAGTTGTTAACGTCAAAAAATGAATGGAAGTGAATGTGACCGGAAGTCGCGAGACAAAAAGATTCAAATGGCAGCGCCCGCTCGACAGCTGAGAATAAGGTGAATACAACATACTAA